GTTGTCTGCCGTAGTTATCGTTGCTGGTGTTGGCGTCGTTGTAAACTTACCACATTTTTATCTTCTTCTCAAAAACCACTGGGTCATTTTCAATCAAACTTATCACAAAGTATCCTTAGGTAAAGGAGATTAAAGTTTCTTCAAATGGAGGACCATGTCCTCTTCCAAAGGGATATAATAATGAATTATTGAAAAATTATCGTCTTTTAAAAATTTTCTTCTCAAGAACCATAGGGCCAGGAAAGATGAAACTCGTGTGATATCATCCTCAGGTACTGTAGATTCAAGGTTGTTCAAATCATGACTCCCGGGGTAGGGTGGGCCACAATAGACGATTAAAGTATAAACTTAAAGATAAACTTCTGAATGAATTTTGGAGATTCGTACGCTTAAAACAGCTTTACAGATCAGTAATATCTTAAAAAGTAATACCAATTTCTAAAAATATTTTTTTAAATGTCATAATTAAACATCATTACATAAATACTATATGCTTTCTTCATTTTTTTCAAATGAAATATAAATGCAGAATTTAAAGTTAAGAATGATATTTATAACTGATAATGGACTAATGAAAAGAGTAGAAAAATATTTAGATTTAAAAATGTAGCTTATGTTATGAAACATCCCAAAAATAACTCCTAGTAAGTAATATTTAATGTGTAAGTTTTCTATAATCTATTGTCAACCTTTTCATTTCTCTTTTTAAATATTTTACCATTTATTATATAGTGGCCTTACGGAATTTAAAGTGATCATCATTTTATGTTGCCCAACTTAGGTTTGATCCAAGGAAATATAGCTCGGATCCAGTTCCAAAAGTAAGAATTTTTGATGATTTAATCTTTCTTGATTCTTGATTCCAACCCCTCCCCCTTCCCCGTCAACAATCAGAATTTAGGAATGGCATCAAAATCAAATTTACTAATCAATAAGCAAATATTGGTAAAAATACTCTTTTTTTAAAAAAAATCTTAAATTTTTGTTTTACCGAGAAAATACAATTAACATATATAATAAAATTAGATATATTTTCCTAATTTAGGCCGCTTTCTTTGCTGAATTTCAATTTATGTTTATGCACTTATATCAGCATATAATCCAGGTATTTTTCCACAATTGAACTTGCTTTGAGTTATCAACCCACGGAAGAGATTTCTATATAATATAAACAAACTCTATAACTCAAATAAAGCTGTTAATTATGTATAAAAAATCTTGTAAATTTTGTGACGTCTATCATAAAATGATGTAATTTCCTTTCCCTAATAAATGTTATTTATTCAAGCGAATCATAGTAAAACATAGCGCATTTACTATTTTAAAGCAATTTTTTCAATTAATTAAGAACCAGAAGTCTCTGTCGAGACTAGCTCTACTGGTTTGTACTTATAACAAAGGAAGAGAAAAGTAGCAGTTGAGACTTGAAACTTTACAAAAGCAATAAATAGAATAATGATCCTTGATTAAGTCTCTTTTTGTGACAAGATTGCAATAAGACTGAAACCGTGGGAGTAGCTTTTAATAAAATATTACAGAATTTTCAATTTAAATTACTATGGCGACATCAATTATCAATATCAAATACACAAAACTGATAATTTTGTATCTCAGTGTAGTCGACTTTACTTGGATGCCAAATCATATTATAATCAGACTAAAACTGTATTTGGAGGAGCATTTTGAATGTATTTCAAAGAAATTTCTATTTTTAGTAACCACGGCAACACCGTTCATCGAAATCAAAAACCGATACAAAGAATTACATGTATGTATCTAAGTGTAGTCTACTTGTGTGACAAGTTATATCGAAATCAGACCAAAACTGTAGGAGAAGTAGCATTTTGAATGTTTTTAACAGAAATTTCTATTTTTAGTAACCACAGCAACACCGTTCATCGAAATCAAAAACTGATATACAGAATTATGTATCTTAGAGTAATCTACTTGTGTGCCATTTTATATTGAAATCAGACCAAAACTGTAGGAGGTGTAGCATTTTGAAAAATTGTTTACAGACAGACAGACGGACAGACAGACAGCTAGACGGACGACGGACGCATTACTATCGCATAAGCTCTTCTGGTCTCTGACCAGTAGAGCTAAAAAATTAACAAAATTCAGAAAAGGCAGATTTAAAAATTTAATTTTAATTTTATATAACTGAGCTTTAAAACAATTTTTCAACTGACAGGTAAATTGAGGTAGTTATAGTGTGCTTTTGATGTTATGATAAACTGAAGCTCATGAAGAAGGGATCAAAAAACGTTATAAAAGAAAAAATATATATATAATGAAAAGATCTTGAAATTGAAAAATTTGAGATTTTTTCAATCATAAGTTAAGAGTTACTTTAGAAATGAAAGCCGACTTGCTAGTTTGGTTGAAATTCCTACCTGTCAACTAAGACAGAGGGCAGTTGTTGTTTTGTGGGGAAAGTATTACCCCTTATGTAGTGTATGGTTGGGGTTCTACAAGTTTAAGCCATACTTGGTGCCCCCTTCACCTCTTTTAAAAGGAGGGAAGGCTCACAGTCTGGAGTACTCAGTGTCAGTAAGTACTATCGAACCAGGGAGCAATCTTCTGGAAACAGGGTAAACAGATATGTCCCAGGCCATTCCTGTCCACATGCTAGTTGTCAAGCATTGGGACTTCACTGGCACTTGTGCTCAACACAAGGCCTCCGTCATGCCCGTTATGCACCTTTGTGTGTTGGTATTTCGGCCGTAACCCCAGACCTCATATAAGATTTGGGGACAATGTGGCCATTTATGTCCATTATCCGTAGACTTTACAGTGACTTTACAGTGAATGTTGACAATTGTTGTATTCGAAAATGTTGTGATTATAAAAATTGGTGTAATACCACTGTTTCCGAGTTAAATAAATGTGAAATGAACTTATGAGTTTTGTTATATATTCCTCAAGGCATAGGAATTGTGGTAATGCAAATTGACAGTATGAATTGCAATGAAATTTAGTATGCGAATGGTTCTATGCAAATTAAAAAGCAATCGAGATACCAATAAGTTGGTAATTATTGAAGCAATATACAGACTGTTCAATTAAGTCAGATGTATCGAATTGACAAATAAATGGAAGTAACAAATGTTATTTGATATCTTTAAATATCAATATATTTAAATGTCGAGATGAATGCCACAATAACTGCTTTCTTTTTCTCATGTGTAAAATTTTCATTCTGAAATTTGATAAATTAATATTGCAAATGTCCAATGACAATGTAAGAAAACGAGTTTCATTTAAATAAGCAGTTTTCTTTAATAAGCTTTAACTGATCGTGGGAATTATTGTAAAATATGTAAAAAAAAAAAAAAAATCCGTGCCTTTCATTTCCATTAATTCTGGTAAAAATATGGGATTTCCTGCTCGTCAGATCGACTTTCTAACTATGATAAACGTCTTACTTTTATGACAGTGTTGACGTTGCACTTTGCCTCTCCAATGAAAAGTTTCTTATAAAATACGCTATAGAGCAGTGGTGAAAGTTTGTAACATAACACAAACTAGAACACTAAAAATACACAGCTTTTGTAATTCATTAGCAAACTCTTTATTTCTGGCTATATCTTCTTCTAATATCACTGTAGATTGATTTTGTCTCTTGTCTTAATAAACTTTATTTTACCGTTGTCTCGGGTAAGTAGATTTGAAAACTTTGCCCATTTAGCTCATTTAGTATTCATCAGAGACCTTCTATTCAGAAATATTAGATGTTTACTTGTATTCTATTCCAATATCTTTCGAAAATTTTCACATATATATGATATTAACATTTGCAAATATCTTTCTTAGATGAACCTATTGAAGAGAAAATATGTTTAATTCTGTGTGAATGTTATTTGGGGGTCAGAGGTCACAGCGCGACCGAATCACAGAGCGAGGTGATATTTTGTCTACATATTTCTGTCAATGTGTAATCTATTGAGAAGCCCTTCGGGCTTCACAGGATTTGATCACGTGACCAACTAAAAGTTCATTTCCCATAGAACTTTTTAACATTGTTGTTTATTTTTTTTTAATTGACATAATCATGATAATTATAAGTAGTCCATATTGACAATTCATTTCTCCATGTTCACAAATCTCTATTTCTACAGCCTGTCTCCCACAAATTTTTCTTAAATTATGCATCTTATGTGCAAAAACAAATTCGTACAATGTATGTGCAACACAAGCTAAATACTCAACTGCACAAAGTCGTGCTTTTTATTAAATGATCTGGTGTTGCATTTTATCAAACATCCTGATGGATAAATTGGGTTAATTAGTTAAATTATGTTTCCTTTACCAAGTATGCAAATATATCGGGTTAAATCTTTGTTTTTCTTTTGTTTGTTTTGATTGTGACTAGCCTTTAACTGAGTACAGTACTAATTTAAAAGTACAATAGCAGTTTTTTTTCTCTATAAGAATATTTTGAATTCACTTTAGATGTATCGTTAACGTGCTTATTAGACTGGCATGCAATAATTACGCAATTGTCATTAACGTATTTCAGGAGTAAGAGCGTAAGAATGGATACGTTTTGAACATAAGATCTGAGCACTGAGTACTTTTGAAGTAGCCAAACACGTTAGAAATCAAGAACAAAACTGTATTTGTATGTTTAAGGCAACTTAGCAAAATCTAATAAATATTTTAAATTCCTTAACAATGAAGAAAAGCAAACAAATAATTGAAAGGGATTAAACAACCTTTATTTTGTAAATATCCAAACACAACAGACAGTTGATTTTAAATAAAAAATGTTCCAAGAACTCTGTGGGTGCAATATACGTTTCCAAGAATTTTTTAATTTGTAAGCGTGTCATGTAAATCTCACATCAAACTTACGCAATCAAACTACAATACACTCTTAAAGCATAGTCGGATACATACTCTGTAGTATGTAAATTGTGTTTTTTTTTTCCAGCATCTGCTCCCATTTTAATGACAAGATATTCTTTGACGATTCCCTTTAAAAGCAGTAGTTATCCTTAATCCATATTCCAATAACGAAGAGGTTTACTGATTTCAGAGCGAGGTTCTGAGACACTTCCTTCCTGATTGTCTTTTGTTTCTTTTTTGGCAGTCTTATCTGGAACAGTTGATACACTGCGACTATAGAGATGGGTTATTTTGCTGACACCTTGACCCCGTGAAGAATGCAGAGAACCAAATTTAAACATTTTTAACAAATTATCTTTGTTATGTGCGTTCATCTCTATCCCAAATTTACTCAAAACCTTCTTGGGTTGTTCATCTTCTAGATCGTGAGAACGTTTACAGTTGGGTTGGAATGCACATTTACCTGCGATAAAAGCGCAGACATGTAGATGTGGACAATTTACAGGTTCCTTACAACCATTGATTTTATTGTAATAGGTGCAAATAGAAGGGATTGTCACACCCCTTCTGTGCTCCAAACCGCTTAACAGTATCCGGACCTGATCAGGTTCAAGGAGTTGCATAAAGTGATGCATAAGAGATTGGCGGTTGTGATCTGTTTTAAGATCATGTCCATACCGACAATTCCCAGATGGACAATTGCTGATAAATTTAAATTTACAGATATGTAAATTATTACAATTACCTCTACACACCTGAGATGAACTAGAGTGCTTAAGGCATATCTGAATATCTGACCTTGCTCTTATTTCTGGATCTGTAATCTCACCTTCTTCTTGTTCATCATCTGACCCATCAGAGATTTCAAAAATATTTCCATAATCTTCTAAAAATCTGATGAAAGAGCTCTTTGGCATAAATCTCATCGTTAAACATGTTAAAGGGTTTGCGCGTAGATGAGCCTCAA